GCCTCGAGGGCCTCTGTGGAGCCGTCGTGGGCCGTCTTGGGAGCCTCTTGGTGCCGTCTTGGGCCATCTCGTGGTCATGTTAGGCCATCTCGGAGGCATCGTGGCGTCTCTTGTGGCCACCTTGGCCGTCCTGGAGGCGGAGGCGTCGTGGGACCGTCTTCCAGGCCATGTTGGGCCATCTCGGCCATCTTGGAAGCGGATTGTGTTGCTTCTATGGTCCGCCCAGGTCAGCCCGGGTGGCTTGTCGGATGCGCAGAGTCCTCACTGCACCGATTGGAAGGGCCCAAGAAGGCGACCCCACAGTTTAGCACGCCAAGCACGCCTTTGCAAGCAGAAGGGGTCAGAGAATCTAGTGGCTTTCGGCCCATTCCGCCGCAGTGCCTGCGCTGTGGGTCTGAGTCGCATTGCGGGATGATGATCAAGAAATTCCCTGGGGTCGTGTTCACGCGGCGGCACCAGGGATGATGATTAAAAACATCGGCCCTCGTCCAGGAAACTATGTTTTTGATCCTTCCCCCCCCTCCGCCCTCCTTGGGCCTTGGGCGCGCGCCGGGACGGCTGACGAGCCAGACGGAGCCGACGCGGAGGGTTAGGAGGAGTTGGGTGAAGGGGAAAGGAAGGAAGTCAACAGCAGCGGCAAGTACAACGACAAACGGATAGGATCTGTAGTTGCCATCAATAATAGGAGATGGACGATGAGGAGATTTAGTTGAAGATGAGTTTGATGTTGTAATAGAATTTGGCATGGGATTTTAGTGGTAGTTGTAACACTACGAACTGTGGTTTCGCTGTACCAGGCTCTGGCGTAGAAGCTGTAGCCAGAGTTTGACAGTCCCCACGTCGGAACTGTTCCAGGGGCTGTAATTGGAGCTGGTTGAGATCGGCGATAGAAACCGTAGTTGGACATGTGTTTTCTTATCACTGCAGTAGGAACTGATTAGGATATGTAGCATCAGGAACTGCAGCAGGGCATACATTCATTCTTCTGTGTTTACGTGCCGTGCTAAACCAAACTTGTTGCACAGTGTGGAACCGCAAACATGCCAACAAGAGTCGGAACATATGTTTTTGTTTAAATCGCCTCCCCTCATTGCTTCTTCACCTTGATCTTGCATTATTGGATGCCTCTCAGGGTATCTTGCGATGCCCCTTTGGGGGCTCTTGGAGCCTCTTGGGGCCTTCTGGGGGCCTCGTGGGGGCGTTTGAAGGCCTCTTGTGCGCCTACGGGGCCAATCTTGGCACAGTCGCCATCCTGGGCAAGATCGGTGCCGGTCTCAGGGGCCAGGCATCCATCTCCAGGATTGACCCCAAGAAGATATTGATCTGGGTTGGTAATGTTCTGGGAATATGGACTGGGGTTCATATTGTCCCCTCCACAACAGTATAGACGTGGGTGTACAACGTTCTTGGAACATGCATTGGGGTTCATCATGCTCCCCCGGAGCATCAGAGACCCGGGTTTATAATGTTGATTGGGGGGATGCGGAACCCCAGAATGCTGAATATGGGTTTACTATCCGGGAATCATGTTGGTGTTTAGTTTCCCCTTCTTTACCCCTGGGCTCCATACTTGGAATATCTCGCATCATGTATTAAGCCCGGAATACTCTAAATGGGGTCCCATACAGTTTTGACAATAACGCAACCAGGCTCACTGTTCCAGAATGATATAAATGGGGCCCGGGGGGCGTCGCTGGAGGAAGATACAGGGCTCATCTTTCCGGAACGATGATAAGCACAATTTCTTCATTCATCTTTCCAGAACCATAGTTCAATTTTCCCGAACGATGATTCACCTTTCCAAACTCATGAATTCGGGTTCGTTTTCCCGGAATAAGAATAATGGAGCGGTGGGGGGGTGTTTGAGAAGAGGGTCTGGAATTGGCACATCGCTGATCCATTATGTCGAAGACTTGATCACGGATTCAAAATTTCGGAATGATAGTAATGCTGCGGGGGAGAAACGTATCCATTTTCAAGGCACCAGTCCACCGGGAGTTTTCTCAAACGAACCTAGGTTTACTAGTCCTTGATTGTACAGCGCGGTCCACGAGGATTTCGCAGGTGCCCCCCAGGATTTTGGCACAAGAGGGCTCGTGGGTCGGTTCGCCCGCCCCCCCCTTCCCCCCCCTTACGGTGCCGCAAACATTGAAACACATGCTTGCCAAGATTGCGAAGGCGTTACGGCAAGTGTCGCCGTCCCTGACGGCGGACGGCGGCGGCGGCGGCGACGACGGCGACGCTGACGCGGGCCAGAGTCCTCAGGAATGCTTCTTGGGGTCTCTTCGGAGTGCTTTCGGGGGCCTTTGCGGGGCACTTGGGAGCCTCTCGGAAGCCTCTCGGGGGCCTTTTGGGGCTTCCTGGTGGCCTGTCGGGGGTTTCCTGGAGGCCTCTTGGGGGCCTTTTGGGGCTTCCTTGGGCCCTCTTGGGGGCCTTGTAGCCTCCTGGGAGCCTCTCGGGGCTGAAGGCGCGAAATGTCCGTTCGGGCCCCCCCTTTCTGGGCACCCTCTTGGAGCCGTCTGGGGAGCCTTTTGGGATGTTTGGGAGGCCTTGGGCGCCTCTGGGATACTCTTGGGTCGTATTTGGGCCCTGTTGGAGGCTTCTTGAGCCGTATTGGCAGTCTTGGGGCCGCTTGGGCCGGTCTTGGAGCGTCGCGAAGCCGAAAAGGCGAGAACGCTCAAATCTGTCCAGAACCTTAGCAAACTTACTAATGAAGTGTGGCTCTTGGTGCCCTCTTGGGAGTGCTCTTGGAGGTCATTGGGACGTCTTGGAGGCATCTTGGGCCGTCTGGAGGCTATCTTGGGAGTCTTCTTGGGAGTCTTGGAGCGATCGTTCGGCGATGCGGGTCCCTCTCTGACTGTCTTCGGGGCCTTTTTGGGCTCTGGGCTCCGGGACCGCCCTGGGTGAGATGGCATGCTGACCCGGGACTCCCCCCCCCTTTGTCTGACCCAGTAGTACCCCTTCGGGGTCTGACCTGGGACCACCCCCCGGCAGAGGAGGAAACCAAAGGGAAGGGGTTCTTCGTAGCGCTTTCGGGTGCTTTTGCGCGGCACTTCTGGGGCCTCTCGGAAGCCTCTTGGGGGCCTCGGGCCTCTTGTGGCCTCCTGGGAGCCTCTCGGGGCTGAAGGCGCGAAATGTCCGTTCGGGCCCCCCCTTTCTGGGCACCCTCTTGGAGCCGTCTGGGGAGCCTGTTGGGCTGTTTGGGAGGCCTTGGGCGCCTCTGGGATAGTCTTGGGTCGTTTTTGGGCCCTGTCTGAGGCTTCTTGAGCCGTATTGGCAGTCTTGGGGCCGCTTGGGCCGGTCTTGGAGCGTCGCGAAGCCGAAAAGGCGAGAACGCTCAAATCTGTCCAGAACATTAGCAGACTGAATAAAGTTTGGCTCTTGGTGCCCTCTTGGGAGTGCTCTTGGAGGTCATTGGGACGTCTCGGAGGCATCTTGGGCCGTCCGGAGGCTATCTTGGGAGTCTTGGAACGATCGTTCAGCGATGCGGGTCCCTCTCTGACTGTCTCCGGGGCCTTTTTGGGCTCCAGGCTCCGGGACCGCCCTGGGATGGCATGCTGACCCGGGACTCCCCCCCTCTTTGTCTGACGCAGTAGTCCCCCTTCGGGGTCTGACCTGGGACCACCCCCCGGCAGAGGAGGAAACCAAAGGGAAGGGGTTCTTCGTAGCGCTTTCGGGGGCTTTTGCGCGGCACTTTTGGGGCCTCTCGGAAGCCTCTTGGGGGCCTCGGGCCTCTTGTGGCCTCCTGGGAGCCTCTCGGGGCTGAAGGCGCGAAATGTCCGTTCGGGCCCCCCCTTTCTGGGCACCCTCTTGGAGCCGTCTGGGGAGCCTGTTGGGATGTTTGGGAGGCCTTGGGCGCCTCTGGGATACTCTTGGGTCGTATTTGGGCCCTGTTGGAGGCTTCTTGAGCCGTATTGGCAGTCTTGGGGCCGCTTGGGCCGGTTTTGGAGCCTCGCGAAGCCGAAAAGGCGAGAACGCTCAAATCTGTCCAGAACCTTAGCAAACTTACTAATGAAGTGTGGCTCTTGGTGCCCTCTTGGGAGTGCTCTTGGAGGTCATTGGGACGTCTTGGAGGCATCTTGGGCCGTCTGGAGGCTATCTTGGGAGTCTTCTTGGGAGTCTTGGAGCGATCGTTCGGCGATGCGGGTCCCTCTCTGACTGTCTTCGGGGCCTTTTTGGGCTCTGGGCTCCGGGACCGCCCTGGGTGAGATGGCATGCTGACCCGGGACTCCCCCCCCCTTTGTCTGACCCAGTAGTACCCCTTCGGGGTCTGACCTGGGACCACCCCCCGGCAGAGGAGGAAACCAAAGGGAAGGGGTTCTTCGTAGCTCTTTCGGGTGCTTTTGCGCGGCACTTTTGGGGCCTCTCGGAAGCCTCTTGGGGGCCTCGGGCCTCTTGTGGCCTCCTGGGAGCCTCTCGGGGCTGAAGGCGCGAAATGTCCGTTCGGGCCCCCCCTTTCTGGGCACCCTCTTGGAGCCGTCTGGGGAGCCTGTTGGGCTGTTTGGGAGGCCTTGGGCGCCTCTGGGATACTCTTGGGTCGTTTTTGGGCCCTGTTGGAAGCTTCTTGAGCCGTATTGGCAGTCTTGGGGCCGCTTGGGCCGGTCTTGGAGCGTCGCGAAGCCGAAAAGGCGAGAACGCTCAAATCTGTCCAGAACATTAGCAGACTGAATAAAGTTTGGCTCTTGGTGCCCTCTTGGGAGTGCTCTTGGAGGTCATTGGGACGTCTCGGAGGCATCTTGGGCCGTCCGGAGGCTATCTTGGGAGTCTTGGAACGATCGTTCAGCGATGCGGGTCCCTCTCTGACTGTCTCCGGGGCCTTTTTGGGCTCCTGGCTCAGGGACCGCCCTGGGATGGCATGCTGACCCGGGACTCCCCCCCTCTTTGTCTGACGCAGTAGTCCCCCTTCGGGGTCTGACCTGGGACCACCCCCCGGCAGAGGAGGAAAACAAATGGAAGGGGTTCTTCTTCGAATCAATCAAAGGGCCGCCATCATCATCCGTAGCAATATTGAACTCAAGAGTGATTCAATAGTCTTGCCACGCAATCTCGTGCCCCAGCGGCAGCCAGACTCGGCTCGGTACACATGTCGAAGAAGACCGCAGTAGGTATCGATTTGGGCACCACCTATTCTTGCGTTGGAGTGTGGAAGAATGACGGCGTCGAGATCATCGCTAACGATCAGGGGAATCGCACGACTCCGTCCTACGTCGCCTTCACAGACTCCGAGCGCCTGATCGGGGACGCGGCCAAGAACCAGGTGGCCCGCAACCCAGAGAACACGGTCTTCGACGCGAAGCGGTTGATCGGCCGCAAGTTCGCGGACCCGATCGTGCAGGCGGACATTAAGTTGTGGCCTTTCAAAGTCGAGGCAGGAACGGGCGACAAGCCGATGATCGTTGTGTCAGCATCGGGTGAAGAGAAGAAGTTTCACCCCGAGGAGATCTCCTCGATGATCTTGCTCAAGATGAAGGAGACTGCCGAGGCTTACTTGGGGTCCAAGTGCAACGATGCAGTCGTGACTGTCCCAGCCTACTTCAACGACTCCCAGCGCCAAGCTACGAAGGATGCTGGGACGATCTCTGGTATGAACGTCCTTCGAATTATCAACGAGCCCACCGCGGCGGCGATCGCGTACGGCCTGGACAAGAAGGGCAGCGGCGAGAAGAACATCCTTATCTACGACATGGGCGGAGGCACCTTCGACGTTTCTCTGCTGACAATCGAGGACGGTATCTTCGAGGTGAAGGCCACAGCTGGAGACACACACCTGGGGGGCGAAGATTTTGACAACCGCATCGTGGACTTCTGCATGCAGGACTTCAAGCGCAAGAACAGGGGCAAGGACCTCACAGGCAACAATCGCGCTATCCGCCGCTTGCGGACACAGTGCGAGCGCGCCAAGAGGACCCTTTCCTCTTCCACGCAGGCCACGATCGAGATTGACTCGCTCTTCGATGGTATCGACTTCTCCTGCTCGCTGTCCCGCGCCCGATTTGAGGAGCTCAACATGGATTACTTCCGCAATTCCATGGGCCCCGTCGAGAAGTGCTTGCGCGACAGCGGCATCGATAAGCGGAACGTGCACGAGGTCGTTTTGGTTGGTGGTTCCACCCGCATCCCAAAGGTGCAGGCCATGATCCAGGAGTTCTTCAACGGCAAGGAGCCTAACAGGTCTATCAACCCAGATGAGGCCGTGGCATTCGGCGCCGCTGTGCAGGCTGCCATCCTCACGGGCGAGGGCTCCTCGCAAGTTCAGGATCTTCTGTTGCTCGACGTGACTCCGCTGTCGATGGGCCTGGAGACCGCAGGCGGTGTGATGACCAAGCTGATCGAGCGGAACACCACGATCCCCACCAAGAAGGGCCAAACGTTCACCACCTACGCCGATAATCAGCCGGGGGTGCTCATCCAGGTGTTCGAGGGCGAGCGCGCAATGACCAAGGACAACAACCTGCTGGGCAAGTTCCACCTCGATGGCATCCCGCCCGCCCCACGCGGCGTGCCGCAGATCGAGGTGACGTTCGACATCGACGCGAACGGCATCTTGAACGTGAGCGCGCAGGACAAGTCCACTGGTAAGTCGAACCAGATCACCATCACGAACGAGAAGGGGCGGCTGTCCCAGGCGGAGATCGACCGGATGGTGCAGGAGGCGGAGAAGTATCGCGCCGAGGACGAGACGGCCAAGCTCAAGATCGAGGCGAAGAACGGGCTCGAGAACTATTGCTTCACCATGCGCAACACCCTGCAGGAGGAGAAGCTCAAGGAGAAGTTTGAGGACGGGGACAAGGAGAAGATCGAGAAGGCGGTGCAGGATGCCCTTGACTGGCTTGACAAGAACCAGCTGGCCGAGAAGGATGAGTTCGAGGCTAAGCAGAAGGAGCTGGAGGGCATCGTCAACCCCATCATGATGAAGGTGTACCAGGCCGCCGGCGGCGGCGAAATGCCCGAGGGTGGCATGCCAGGCGGCGGCGGGAATGCACCCGGCGGCGGCGCGGGGCCCACCGTGGAGGAGGTGGACTAAGCTAGCCCGCCCGTGCACCGCCCATGTTCGACGCAGGTGGGGGGGAGGAGGATCTTTCCATGCGGAGGTGAGGGGGGCTGAGGAGGAGGAGGCTGAGGACGGCGTGCCTGGGCGCAGGCGCGGCGCGAGCGCCCACCCCGGTCTTCGAGCGCAGGCTGGGATGCGCCGTGCATCTTTTTGTTCGACCTGCTTGGCGCCTTCGGCTGCGGAGCAGGGCCGACCCCGCCTCGGCCGCGACCTGCCGGTTGGCCTTCCGACCGGCCAGCAGGGCTCGGCGCATGTGCGGGGGGCCGTGGGCCACAGACTCACAGACCGCGGGCTTCGCCTTGCGGTGGCGCGAGCTTTGCCGGGGAGAGATCGCAACAAGTTTATACACATCGCTTGTCGCCATCACCTGCGCGAGGCGCAGATATATCAACGAGGTGCCGAACTTGTTGAGGCGCCTCCCTTGGGCCTGGCAACATGATCACTGACGAGACTCGGTTACCGAAGACGCCAACGGGGAGTCACCGCCACCCTTTGCCTTTCTGGAAACGCCTATGTGGCCATACGCTGGGCCAACTTCTGGCCAAGATACTGCGTTCCCCCAGCCGCTTTCAAAACCGTTTAGGGAGCACTCGGGGTAGAAGGAGGGGAGGAGGAGGAGGAGGAGGAGGAGGAGGACGGAGGAGGAGGAGGAGTGAGAAGGAGGAACATGAAGCCTCTTGGGGACCTCTTGGGGCCTCCTGGGGGTCTCTGTGGAGCCCCTGATGGGCCTGTCGGGTGCTCTGGTGGGCCTCTTGGGGGCCTCTTTGGAGCCTCTCTCTTGGGGCCCTCTTGGGGTGCGTTAGTTAGTGCCGTCTTGGAGGTTAGTAGGGCCATCGTGGGGCCTCCCTGTCGGTCTCTTGGGCCGTTCTGGGGCTCTCTTGGCTTGTCTTGGGGCCCGCATGGGGTTTTCTGGGGCGTGCCCGTCTGTAGATGTTTTGTTCCAGCAGCCCAGACCATGGCATCTTGCTGTTGTGCATCTGGTGTGTGTGTGTGTGTGTGTGACGAGGGGGGGCGGGGTTCTGGGGCTGTCGGTAACCCGGAAAGACGAGGACGCGAAGACCAATGAACCAATACAACAACCAATCTAACAATCAGCTGTTTTTTTACATCTTGCGGGCCGCCTCGAGGGCCTCTTTGGAGCCGTCGTGGGCCGTCTTGGGAGCCTCTTGATGCCGTCTTGGGCCATCTCGTGGTCATGTTAGGCCATCTCGGAGGCATCGTGGCGTCTCTTGTGGCCACCTTGGGCGTCCTGGAGGCGCCGTGGGACCGTCTTCCAGGCCATGTTGGGCCATCTCGGCCATCTTGGAAGCGGATTGTGTTGCTTCTATGGTCCGCCCAGGTCCGCCCGGGTGGCTTGTCGGATGCGCAGAGTCCTCACTGCACCGTTTGGAAGGGCCCAAGAAGGCGGCCCGACAGTTCAGCACGCCAAGCACGCCTTTGCAAGCAGAAGGGGTCAGAGAATCTAGTGGCTTTCGGCCCATTCCGCCGCAGTGCCTGCGTTGTGGGTCTGAGTCGCATTGCGGGATGATGATCAAGAAATTCCCGGGGGTCGTGTTCACGCGGCGGCACCAGGGATGATGATTAAAAACATCGGCCCTCGTCCAGGAAACTATGTTTTTGATCGTTCCCCCCCCTCCGCCCTCCTTGGGCCTTGGGCGCGCGCCGGGACGGCTGACGAGACAGACGGAGCCGACGCGGAGGGTTAGGTGGAGCAGGGTGAAGGGGAAAGGAGGGACATCAACAGCAGCGGCAAGTACAACGACAAACGGATAGGATCTGTAGTTGCCATGAATAATAGGAGATGGACTGGCGTAGAAGCTGTAGCCGGAGTTTTACAGTCCCCACGTCGGAACTGTTCCAGGGGCTGTAATTGGAGCTGGTTGAGATCTGCGATAGGAGCCGTAGTTGGACATTTTTTTATTATTATTATTTTTTTTGTTTTTTATAAAGAAAAAATCTCTGCAGTAGGACAGATTATGATATGTTGCATTATTGGATGCCTCTCAGGGTATCTTGCGATGCCCCTTTGGAGGCCCTTGGAGCCTCTTGGGGCCTTCTGGGGGGGGCGTTTGAAGGCCTCTTGTGCGCCTACGGGGCCAATCTTGGCACAATCGCCATCCTGGGCAAGATCGGTGGCGGTCTCAGGGGCCAGTCATCCATCTACAGGATGGACCCCAAAAAGATATTGATCTGGTCTGGTAATGTTCAGGGAATATGGGCTGGGGTTCGTATTGTCCCCCCACACAACAGTATAGACGTGGGTGTACAACGTTTTCGGAACATGCATTGGGGTTCATCATGCTCCCGGGTTTATAATGTTTTTTTGGGGGGATTCGGAATCCCAGAATGTTGAATATGTGTTTCCTATCCGGGAGTCATGTTGGTCCAGAACTGGAATACCCCTCATGGGTTTCCTTACCCCTGGGCTCCAGAATTGCATCTTCCCCTTAATTACCCCTGGGCTCCGTACTTGGAATATGTCGCATCATGCATAAGCCCGCTTCATTATCTATTGTAATCTTCTAAAGCGGGCTTCATACAGTTTTGACAACGCAACCAGGCTCACTATTCCAGGATGATAATAATGGAGCCCAGGGGTCGTCGCTGGAGGAATATACCGGGTTCAACGTTCCAGAACGATGGTTCATTTTTCCAGAACGATGATGCACCTTTCCGAACTAATGAATTCGGGTTCGTTTTTCCGGAATGAGAATAATAGAGCGGTGGGGGGGGGGTTGAGAAGAGGGTCTGGACTGGTCACATCGCTGATCCATTATGTCGAAAACTTGATCACGGATTCAAGATTTCGGAATGATAGTAATGCTGCGGGGGAGAAACGTATCCATTTTCAAGGCACCAGTCCACCGGGAGTTTTCGAACGAACCTAGGTTTTCTGTTCCTTGATCGTACAGCGCGGTCCACGAGGATTTCGCAGGTGTCCTCCAGGATTTTGGCACACGAGGGCTCGTGGGTCGGTTCGCCCGCCCCCCCCTTCCCCCCCCCCTTACGGTGCCGCAAACAGCGAAACGCATGCTTGTCAAGATTGCGAAGGCTCTACGACAAGTGGCGCCGTCCCTGACGGGGGACGACGGCGGCGGCGGCGGCGGCGGCGACGGCGACGCTGACGTGGGCCAGAGTCCTCAGGGATGCTTCTTGGGGTCTCTTCGGAGCGCTTTCGGGGGCCTTTGCGGGGCACTTTTGGGGGCCTCTCGGAAGCCTCTTGGAGGCCTCTTGGGGCCTCCTGGGGGCCTGTCGGGGGCTTTTTGGAGGCCTCTTGGGGGCCTCTTGGGGCTTCCTCGGGCCCTCTTGGGAGCCTTGTGGCCTCCTGGGAGCCTCTCGGGGCTGAAGGCGCGAAATGTCCGTTCGGGCCCCCCCCTTCTGGGCACCCTCTTGGAGCCGTCTGGGGAGCCTTTTGGGCTGTTTGGGAGGCCTTGGGCGCCTCTGGGATACTCCTGGGTCGTTTTTGGGCCCTGTTGGAAGCTTCTTGGGCCGTATTGGGTGTCTTGGGGCCGCTTGGGCCGGTCTTGGAGCGTCGCGAAACCGAAAAGGCGAGAACGCTCAAATCTGTCCAGAACCTTAGCAAACTTAATAATCAAGTGTGGCTCTTGGTGCCCTCTTGGGAGTGCTCTTGGAGGTCATTGGGACGTCTTGGAGGCATCTTGGGCCGTCTGGAGGCTATCTTGGGAGTCCTGGAACGATCGTTCAGCGATGCGGGTCCCTCTCTGACTGTCTCCGGGGCCTTTTTGGGCTCCGGGCTCCGGGACCGCCCTGGGATGGCATGCTGACCCGGGGCTCCCCCCCTCTTTGTCTTACGCAGTAGTCCCCCTTCGGGGTCTGACCTGGGACCACCCCCCGGCAGAGGAGGAAATCAAATGGAAGGGGTTCTTCTTCGAATCAATCAAAGGGCCGCCATCATCATCCGTAGCAATATTGAACTCAAGAGTGATTCAATAGTCTTGCCACGCAATCTCGTGCCCCAGCGGCAGCCGGACTCGGCTCGGTACACATGTCGAAGAAGACCGCAGTAGGTATCGATTTGGGCACCACCTATTCTTGCGTTGGAGTGTGGAAGAATGACGGCGTCGAGATCATCGCTAACGATCAGGGGAATCGCACGACTCCGTCCTACGTCGCCTTCACAGACTCCGAGCGCCTGATCGGGGACGCGGCCAAGAACCAGGTGGCCCGCAACCCAGAGAACACGGTCTTCGACGCGAAGCGGTTGATCGGCCGCAAGTTCGCGGACCCGATCGTGCAGGCGGACATTAAGTTGTGGCCTTTCAAAGTCGAGGCAGGAACGGGCGACAAGCCGATGATCGTTGTGTCAGCATCGGGTGAAGAGAAGAAGTTTCACCCCGAGGAGATCTCCTCGATGATCTTGCTCAAGATGAAGGAGACTGCCGAGGCTTACTTGGGGTCCAAGTGCAACGATGCAGTCGTGACTGTCCCAGCCTACTTCAACGACTCCCAGCGCCAAGCTACGAAGGATGCTGGGACGATCTCTGGTATGAACGTCCTTCGAATTATCAACGAGCCCACCGCGGCGGCGATCGCGTACGGCCTGGACAAGAAGGGCAGCGGCGAGAAGAACATCCTTATCTACGACATGGGCGGAGGCACCTTCGACGTTTCTCTGCTGACAATCGAGGACGGTATCTTCGAGGTGAAGGCCACAGCTGGAGACACACACCTGGGGGGCGAAGATTTTGACAACCGCATTGTGGACTTCTGCATGCAGGACTTCAAGCGCAAGAACAGGGGCAAGGACCTCACAGGCAACAATCGCGCTATCCGCCGCTTGCGGACACAGTGCGAGCGCGCCAAGAGGACCCTTTCCTCTTCCACGCAGGCCACGATCGAGATTGACTCGCTCTTCGATGGTATCGACTTCTCCTGCTCGCTGTCCCGCGCCCGATTTGAGGAGCTCAACATGGATTACTTCCGCAATTCCATGGGCCCCGTCGAGAAGTGCTTGCGCGACAGCGGCATCGATAAGCGGAACGTGCACGAGGTCGTTTTGGTTGGTGGTTCCACCCGCATCCCAAAGGTGCAGGCCATGATCCAGGAGTTCTTCAACGGCAAGGAGCCTAACAGGTCTATCAACCCAGATGAGGCCGTGGCATTCGGCGCCGCTGTGCAGGCTGCCATCCTCACGGGAGAGGGCTCCTCGCAAGTTCAGGATCTTCTGTTGCTCGACGTGACTCCGCTGTCGATGGGCCTGGAGACCGCAGGCGGTGTGATGACCAAGCTGATCGAGCGGAACACCACGATCCCCACCAAGAAGGGCCAAACGTTCACCACCTACGCCGATAATCAGCCGGGGGTGCTCATCCAGGTGTTCGAGGGCGAGCGCGCAATGACCAAGGACAACAACCTGCTGGGCAAGTTCCACCTCGATGGCATCCCGCCCGCCCCACGCGGCGTGCCGCAGATCGAGGTGACGTTCGACATCGACGCGAACGGCATCTTGAACGTGAGCGCGCAGGACAAGTCCACTGGTAAGTCGAACCAGATTACCATCACGAACGAGAAGGGGCGGCTGTCCCAGGCGGAGATCGACCGGATGGTGCAGGAGGCGGAGAAGTATCGCGCCGAGGACGAGACGGCCAAGCTCAAGATCGAGGCGAAGAACGGGCTCGAGAACTATTGCTTCACCATGCGCAACACCCTGCAGGAGGAGAAGCTCAAGGAGAAGTTTGAGGACGGGGACAAGGAGAAGATCGAGAAGGCGGTGCAGGATGCCCTTGACTGGCTTGACAAGAACCAGCTGGCCGAGAAGGATGAGTTCGAGGCTAAGCAGAAGGAGCTGGAGGGCATCGTCAACCCCATCATGATGAAGGTGTACCAGGCCGCGGGCGGCGGCGAAATGCCGGAGGGTGGCATGCCGGGCGGCGGCGGGAACGCACCCGGCGGCGGCGCGGGGCCCACCGTGGAGGAGGTGGACTAGCTAGCCCGCCCGTGCACCGCCCATTTTCGACGCAGGGGGGGGGAGGAGGATCTTTCCATGCGGAGGTGAGGGGGGCTGCGGAGGAGGAGGAGGAGGAGGAGGAGGAGGCTGAGGAGGAGGCTGAGGAGGAGGAGGAGTCTGAGGAGGAGGAGGAGAAGGAGTAGGAGGAGGAGGAGGAGGAGGGGGCTGAGGTGGTGGGGCGGAGGGGGAGGGGCGGCGGTGGTGGGGCGGAGGGGGAGAAGGCTGAGGACGGCGTGCTTTGCCGCAGGCGCTGCGCGAGCGCCTACCCCGGTCTTTGAGCGCAGGCTGGGATGCGCCGTGCATCTTTTTGTTCGACCTGCTTGGCGCCTTCGGCTGCGGAGCAGGGCCGACCCCGCCTCGGCCGCGAGCTGCCGGTTGGCCTTCCGACCGGCCAGCAGGGCTCGGCGCGTGTGCGGGGGGCCGCGGGCCACAGACTCGCAGACCGCGGGCTTCGCCCTGCGGTGGCGCGAGCGTTGCCGGGGAGAGATCGCAACAGGCTATACACATCGCTTGTCGCCATCACCTGCGCGAGGCGCAGATATATCAACGAAGTGCCGATCTTGTTGAGGCGCCTCCCTTGGGCCTGGCAAGATGATCACTGACGAGACTCGGTTACCGAAGACGCTTAAGTCGAGTCACCGCTGCCCTTTGCCTTTCTGGAAACGCCTTGGGGGCCAAACGCTGGGCCAACTTCTGGCCAAGGTACTGTGTTCCCCCAGCCGCTATCAAAACCGTTTAGGGAGCACTCGGGGTAGAAGGAGTGGAGGAGGAGGAGGAGGAGGACGGAGGAGGAGGAGTGGGAAGGAGGAACAGGAAGCCTCTTGGGGACCTCTTGGGGCCTCCTGAGGGCCTCCGGGGGGTCTCTGTGGAGCCTCTGATGGGCCTGTCGGGTGCTCTGATGGTCCTCTGGGGGGCCTCTTTGGAGCCCCTCTCTTGGGGCCCTCTTGGGGTGCGTTAGTTAGTGCCGTCTTGGAGGTAAGTAGGGCCATCGTGGGGCCGCCCTGTCGGTCTCTTGGGCCGTTTTGGGCATCTCTTGCCTTGTCTTGGGTCCCTCTTGGGGTTTTCTGCGGCGTTCCCGTCTGTGGTTGTTTTTGTTCCAGCAGCCCAGACCATGGCATCTTGCTGTTGTGCGTCTGGTGTGTGTGTGTGTGTCTGTGTGACGAGTGGGGGGGGGTTGGGGCCGTCTTGGGGCTATCTTGAAGACATCTGGGGCCATGGTCGGCTGTCGGTAACCCGGAAAGACGAGGACGCGAAGACCAATGAACCAATACAACAATGAAACTAACTACCAGTTGTTTTGAATCTTGCGGGCCGCCTCGAGGGCCTCTTTGGAGCCGTCGTGGGCCGTCTTGGGAGCCTCTTGGTGCCGTCTTGGGCCATCTCGTGGTCATATTAGGCCATCTCGGAGGCATCGTGGCGTCTCTTGTGGCCACCTTGGCCGTCCTGGAGGCGGAGGCGTCGTGGGACCGTCTTCCAGGCCATGTTGGGCCATCTCGGCCATCTTGGAAGCGGATTGTGTTGCTTCTATGGTCCGCCCAGGTCCGCCCGGGTGGCTTGTCGGATGCGCAGAGTCCTCACTGCACCGTTTGGAAGGGCCCAAGAAGGCGGCCCGACAGTTCAGCACGCCAAGCACGCCTTTGCAAGCAGAAGGGGTCAGAGAATCTAGTGGCTTTCGGCCCATTCCGCCGCAGTGCCTGCGTTGTGGGTCTGAGTCGCATTGCGGGATGATGATCAAGAAATTCCCGGGGGTCGTGTTCACGCGGCGGCACCAGGGATGATGATTAAAAACATCGACCCTCGTCCAGGAAACTATGTTTTTAATCGTTTCCCCCCCCCCCGCCCTCCTTGGGCCTTGGGCGCGCGCAGGGACGGCTGACGAGCCAGACGGAGCCGACGCGGAGGGTTAGGTGGAGCAGGGTGAAGGGGAAAGGAGGGAAATCAACAGCAGCGGCAAGTACAACGACAAACGGATAGTATCTGCAGTTGCCATGAATAATAGGAGATGGACGATGAGGAGGTCTAGTTGAAGATGAGTTTGATGTTGTAATAGAATTTGGCACGGGATTTGAGTGGTAGTTGTACCATTACTGGCTGGGCTGTACCAGGCTCTGGCGTAGAAGCTGTAGCCGGAGTTTTACAGTCCCCACATCGGAACTGTTCCAGGGGCTGTAATTGGAGCTGGTTGAGATCTGCGATAGGAGCCGTAGTTGGACATAGTTTTTTTGTGTTTTTTTTTTTCAAAAAAAAAAAAAAACATCTCTGCAGTAGGACAGATTATGAAGCATTATTGGATGCCTCTCAGGGTATCTTGCGATGCCCCTTTGGAGGCCCTTGGAGCCTCTTGGGGCCTTCTGGGGGCCTCGTGGGGGCGTTTGAAGGCCTCTTGTGCGCCTACGGGGCCAATCTTGGCACAATCGCCATCCTGGGCAAGATCGGTGGCGGTCTCAGGGGCCAGTCATCCATCTCCAGGATGGACCCCAAAAAGATATTGATCTGGTCTGGTAATGTTCCGGGAATATGGCCTGGGGTTCGTATTGTCCCCCCCCCACACAACAGTATAGACGTGGGTGTACAACGTTTTCGGAACATGCATTGGGGTTCATCATGCACCCGGGTTTATTATGTTTTTTGGGGGGATTAGGAATCCCAGAATGTTGAATATGGGTTTCCTATCCGGGAGTCATGTTGGTCCAGAACTGGAATACCCCTCATGGGTTTCCTTACCCCTGGGCTCCAGAATTGCATCTTCCCCTTACCCCTGGGCTCCGTACTTGGAATATGTCGCATCATGTATTAAGCCCGCTTCATTATCTATTGGAATCTTCTAAAGCGGGCTTCATACAGTTTTGACAACGCAACCAGGCTCACTATTCCAGGATGATAATAATGGAGCCCAGGGGTCGTCGCTGGAGGAATATACCGGGTTCAACGTTCCAGAACGATGGTTCATTTTTCCAGAACGATGATGCACCTTTTCCGAACTAATGAATTCGGGTTCGTTTTTCCGGAATGAGAATAATGGAGCGGTGGGGGGGTGTTTGAGAAGAGGGTCTGGACTGGTCACATCGCTGATCCATTATGTCGAAGACTTGATCACGGATTCAAGATTTCGGAATGATAGTAATGCTGCGGGGGAGAAACGTATCCATTTTCAAGGCACCAGTCCACCGAGAGTTTTCGAACGAACCTAGGTTTTATGTTCCTTGATCGTACAGCGCGGTCCACGAGGATTTCGCAGGTGTCCTCCAGGATTTTGGCACACGAGGGCTCGTGGGTCGGTTCGCCCGCCCCCCCCTTCCCCCCTCCTTACGGTGCCGCAAACAGCGAAACGCATGCTTGTCAAGATTGCGAAGGCTCTACGGCAAGTGGCGCCGTCCCTGACGGGGGACGACGGCGGCGGCGGCGACGGCGACGCTGACGTGGGCCAGAGTCCTCAGGGATGCTTCTTGGGGTCTCTTCGGAGCGCTTTCGGGGGCCGGGGCCTTTGCGGGGCACTTTTGGGGGCCTCTCGGAAGCCTCTTGGAGGCCTCTTGGGGCCTCCGGGGGGCCTGTCGGGGGCTTTTTGGAGGCCTCTTGGGGGCCTCTTGGGGCTTCCTCGGGCCCTCTTGGGAGCCTTGTGGCCTCCTGGGAGCCTCTCGGGGCTGAAGGCGCGAAATGTCCGTTCGGGCCCCCCCCTTCTGGGCACCCTCTTGGAGCCGTCTGGGGAGCCTTTTGGGCTGTTTGGGAGGCCTTGGGCGCCTCTGGGATACTCCTGGGTCGTTTTTGGGCCCTGTTGGAAGCTTCTTGGGCCGTATTGGGTGTCTTGGGGCCGCTTGGGCCGGTCTTGGAGCGTCGCGAAACCGAAAAGGCGAGAACGCTCAAATCTGTCCAGAACCTTAGCAAACTTAATAATGAAGTGTGGCTCTTGGTGCCCTCTTGGGAGTGCTCTTGGAGGTCATTGGGACGTCTTGGAGGCATCTTGGGCCGTCTGGAGGCTATCTTGGGAGTCCTGGAACGATCGTTCAGCGATGCGGGTCCCTCTCTGACTGTCTCCGGGGCCTTTTTGGGCTCCGGGCTCCGGGACCGCCCTGGGATGGCATGCTGACCCGGGACTCCCCCCCTCTTTGTCTGACGCAGTAGTCCCCCTTCGGGGTCTGACCTGGGACCACCCCCCGGCAGAGGAGGAAATCAAATGGAAGGGGTTCTTCTTCGAATCAATCAAAGGGCCGCCATCATCATCCGTAGCAATATTGAACTCAAGAGTGATTCAATAGTCTTGCCACGCAATCTCGTGCCCCAGCGGCAGCCGGACTCGGCTCGGTACACATGTCGAAGAAGACCGCAGTAGGTATCGATTTGGGCACCACCTATTCTTGCGTTGGAGTGTGGAAGAATGACGGCGTCGAGATCATCGCTAACGATCAGGGGAATCGCACGACTCCGTCCTACGTCGCCTTCACAGACTCCGAGCGCCTGATCGGGGACGCGGCCAAGAACCAGGTGGCCCGCAACCCAGAGAACACGGTCTTCGACGCGAAGCGGTTGATCGGCCGCAAGTTCGCGGACCCGATCGTGCAGGCGGACATTAAGTTGTGGCCTTTCAAAGTCGAGGCAGGAACGGGCGACAAGCCGATGATCGTTGTGTCAGCATCGGGTGAAGAGAAGAAGTTTCACCCCGAGGAGATCTCCTCGATGATCTTGCTCAAGATGAAGGAGACTGCCGAGGCTTACTTGGGGTCCAAGTGCAACGATGCAGTCGTGACTGTCCCAGCCTACTTCAACGACTCCCAGCGCCAAGCTACGAAGGATGCTGGGACGATCTCTGGTATGAACGTCCTTCGAATTATCAACGAGCCCACCGCGGCGGCGATCGCGTACGGCCTGGACAAGAAGGGCAGCGGCGAGAAGAACATCCTTATCTACGACATGGGCGGAGGCACCTTCGACGTTTCTCTGCTGACAATCGAGGACGGTATCTTCGAGGTGAAGGCCACAGCTGGAGACACACACCTGGGGGGCGAAGATTTTGACAACCGCATCGTGGACTTCTGCATGCAGGACTTCAAGCGCAAGAACAGGGGCAAGGACCTCACAGGCAACAATCGCGCTATCCGCCGCTTGCGGACACAGTGCGAGCGCGCCAAGAGGACCCTTTCCTCTTCCACGCAGGCCACGATCGAGATTGACTCGCTCTTCGATGGTATCGACTTCTCCTGCTCGCTGTCCCGCGCCCGATTTGAGGAGCTCAACATGGATTACTTCCGCAATTCCATGGGCCCCGTCGAGAAGTGCTTGCGCGACAGCGGCATCGATAAGCGGAACGTGCACGAGGTCGTTTTGGTTGGTGGTTCCACCCGCATCCCAAAGGTGCAGGCCATGATCCAGGAGTTCTTCAACGGCAAGGAGCCTAACAGGTCTATCAACCCAGATGAGGCCGTGGCATTCGGCGCCGCTGTGCAGGCTGCCATCCTCACGGGCGAGGGCTCCTCGCAAGTTCAGGATCTTCTGTTGCTCGACGTGACTCCGCTGTCGATGGGCCTGGAGACCGCAGGCGGTGTGATGACCAAGCTGATCGAGCGGAACACCACGATCCCCACCAAGAAGGGCCAAACGTTCACCACCTACGCCGATAATCAGCCGGGGGTGCTCATCCAGGTGTTCGAGGGCGAGCGCGCAATGACCAAGGACAACAACCTGCTGGGCAAGTTCCACCTCGATGGCATCCCGCCCGCCCCACGCGGCGTGCCGCAGATCGAGGTGACGTTCGACATCGACGCGAACGGCATCTTGAACGTGAGCGCGCAGGACAAGTCCACTGGTAAGTCGAACCAGATTACCATCACGAACGAGAAGGGGCGGCTGTCCCAGGCGGAGATCGACCGGATGGTGCAGGAGGCGGAGAAGTATCGCGCCGAGGACGAGACGGCCAAGCTCAAGATCGAGGCGAAGAACGGGCTCGAGAACTATTGCTTCACCATGCGCAACACCCTGCAGGAGGAGAAGCTCAAGGAGAAGTTTGAGGACGGGGACAAGGAGAAGATCGAGAAGGCGGTGCAGGATGCCCTTGACTGGCTGGACAAGAACCAGCTGGCCGAGAAGGATGAGTTCGAGGCTAAGCAGAAGGAGCTGGAGGGCATCGTCAACCCCATCATGATGAAGGTGTACCAGGCCGCCGGCGGCGGCGAAATGCCGGAGGGTGGCATGCCGGGCGGCGGCGGGAACGCACCCGGCGGCGGCGCGGGGCCCACTGTGGAGGAGGTGGACTAAGCTAGCCCGCCCGTGCACCGCCCATTTTCGACGCAGGGGGGGGGGGAGGAGGATCTTTCCATGCGGATGTGAGGGGGGCTGAGGAGGAGGAGGAGGAGGAGGAGGAGGAGGAGGAGGAGGCTGAGGACGGCGTGCCTTGGCGCAGGCGCGGCGCGAGCGCCCACCCCGGTCTTCGAGCGCAGGCTGGGATGCGCCGTGCATTTTTGTTGGTCGACCTGCTTGTGCTTGGCGCCTTCGGCTGCGGAGCAGGGCCGACCCCGCCTCGGCCGCGAGCTGCCGGTTGGCCTTCCGACCGGCCAGCAGGGCTCGGCGCGTGTGCGGGGGGCCGCGGGCCACAGACTCGCAGACCGCGGGCTTCGCCCTGCGGTGGCGCGAGCGTTGCCGGGGAGAGATCGCAACAGGCTATACACATCGCTTGTCGCCATCACCTGCGCGAGGCGCAGATATATCAACGAAGTGCCGATCTTGTTGAGGCGCCTCCCTTGGGCCTGGCAAGATGATCACTGACGAGACTCGGTTACCGAAGACGCTTAAGTCGAGTCACCGCTGCCCTTTGCCTTTCTGGAAACGCCTTGGGGGCCAAACGCTGGGCCAACTTCTGGCCAAGGTACTGTGTTCCCCCAGCCGCTATCAAAACCGTTTAGGGAGCACTCGGGGTAGAAGGAGTGGAGGAGGAGGAGGAGGAGGACGGAGGAGGAGGAGTGGGAAGGAGGAACAGGAAGCCTCTTGGGGACCTCTTGGGGCCTCCTGAGGGCCTCCGGGGGGTCTCTGTGGAGCCTCTGATGGGCCTGTCGGGTGCTCTGATGGTCCTCTGGGGGGCCTCTTTGGAGCCCCTCTCTTGGGGCCCTCTTGGGGTGCGTTAGTTAGTGCCGTCTTGGAGGTAAGTAGGGCCATCGTGGGGCCGCCCTGTCGGTCTCTTGGGCCGTTTTGGGCATCTCTTGCCTTGTCTTGGGTCCCTCTTGGGGTTTTCTGCGGCGTTCCCGTCTGTGGTTGTTTTTGTTCCAGCAGCCCAGACCATGGCATCTTGCTGTTGTGCGTCTGGTGTGTGTGTGTGTGTCTGTGTGACGAGTGGGGGGGGGTTGGGGCCGTCTTGGGGCTATCTTGAAGACATCTGGGGCCATGGTCGGCTGTCGGTAACCCGGAAAGACGAGGACGCGAAGACCAATGAACCAATACAACAATGAAACTAACTACCAGTTGTTTTGAATCTTGCGGGCCGCCTCGAGGGCCTCTTTGGAGCCGTCGTGGGCCGTCTTGGGAGCCTCTTGGTGCCGTCTTGGGCCATCTCGTGGTCATATTAGGCCATCTCGGAGGCATCGTGGCGTCTCTTGTGGCCACCTTGACCGTCCTGGAGGCGGAGGCGTCGTGGGACCGTCTTCCAGGCCATGTTGGGCCATCTCGGCCATCTTGGAAGCGGATTGTGTTGCTTCTATGGTCCGCCCAGGTCCGCCCGGGTGGCTTGTCAGATGCGCAGAGTCCTCACTGCACCGTTTGGAAGGGCCCAAGAAGGCGGCCCGACAGTTTAGCACGCCAAGCACGCCTTTGCAAGCAGAAGGGGTCAGAGAATCTAGTGGCTTTCGGCCCATTCCGCCGCAGTGCCTGCGTTGTGGGTCTGAGTCGCATTGCGGGATGATGATCAAGAAATTCCCGGGGGTCGTGTTCACGCGGCGGCACCAGGGATGATGATTAAAAACATCGGCCTTCGTCCAGGAAACTATGTTTTTGATCGTTCCCCCCCCTCCGCCCTCCTTGGGCCTTGGGCGCGCGCCGGGACGGCTGACGAGCCAGACGGAGCCGACGCGGAGGGTAAGGTGGAGCAGGGTGAAGGGGAAAGGAGGGAAATCAACAGCAGCGGCAAGTACAACGACACACAGATAGTATCTGCAGTTGCCATGAATAATAGGAGATGGACGATGAGGAGGTCTAGTTGAAGATGAGTTTGATGTTGTAATAGAATTTGGCATGGGATTTGAGTGGTAGTTGTAACACTACGAACTGCGGTTTCGCTGTACCAGGCTCTGGCGTAGAAGCTGTAGCCGGAGTTTTACAGTCCCCACGTCGGAATTGTTCCAGGGGCTGTAATTGGAGCTGGTTGAGATCTGCGATAGGAGCCGTAGTTGGACATGTTATTTTTTATCACTGCAGTAGGACGGATTATGATATGTTGCATCAGGAACTGCAGCAGGGCATACATTCATTATTCTGTGTTTTACGCGCCGTGCTAAATCAAACTTGTTTCACAGTGTGGAACCGCAAACTTGCCAACAAGAGTCGCAACCTATGTTTTTGTTTCAATCGCCCCCCCTCATTGCCTCTTCACCTTGATCTTGCATTATTGGATGCCTCTCAGGGTATCTTGCGATGCCCCTTTGGAGGCCCTTGGAGCCTCTTGGGGCCTTCTGGGGGCCTCGTGGGGTCGTTTGAAGGCCTCTTGTGCGCCTACGGGGCCAATCTTGGCACAATCGCCATCCTGGGCAAGATCGGTGGCGGTCTCAGGGGCCAGTCATCCATCTCCAGGATGGACCCCAAAAAGATATTGATCTGGGTTGGTAATGTTCCAGGAATATGGCCTGGGGTTCGTATTGTCCCCCCCACAACAGTATAGACGTGGGTGTACAACGTTTTCGGAACATGCATTGGGGTTCATCATGCTCCCCCGGAGCATCAGAGACCCGGGTTTATAATGTTTTTTGGGGGGATTCGGAACCCCAGAATGTTGAATATGGGTTTCCTATCCGGGAGTCATGTTGGTGTTTAGTTTCCCCTTCCTTACCCTTGGGCTCCAGAATTTCATGTTCCCCTTACCCCTGGGCTCCGTACTTGGAATTTGTCGCATCATATATTAAGCCCGCTTCATTATCTTTTGGAATATTCTAAAGCGGGTCTCATACAGTTATGACAACGCACCCAGGCTCACTATTCCAGAATGATAATAATGGAGCCCAGGGGTCGTCGCTGGAGGAAGATACCGGGTTCAACGTTCCAGAACGATGGTTCATTTTTCCAGAACGATGATGCATCTTTCCGAACTAATGAATTCGGGTTCGTTTTTCCGGAATGAGAATAATGGAGCGGTGGGGGGGTGTTTGAGAAGAGGGCCTGGACTGGGCACATCGCTGATCCATTATGTCGAAGACTTGATCACGGATTCAAGATTTCGGAATGATAGTAATGCTGCGGGGGAGAAACGTATCCATTTTCAAGGCACCAGTCCACCGGGAGTTTTCAAACGAACCTAGGTTTTCTGTTCCTTGATCGTACAGCGCGGTCCACGAAGATTTCGCAGGTGTCCCCCTGGATTTTGGCACAAGAGGGCTCGTGGGTCGGTTCGCCCGCCCCCCCCTCCCCCCCCTTACGGTGCCGCAAACAGTGAAACAGCATGCTTGTGAAGATTGCGAAGGCCTTACGGCAAGTGCCGCCGTCCCTGACGGGGGACAGCGGCGGCGGCGGCGGCGACGACGGCGACGCTGACGTGGGCCAGAGTCCTCAGGGATGCTTCTTCTTGGGGTCTCTTCGGAGCGCTTTCGGGGGCCTTTGCGGGGCACTCTTGGGGCCTCTCGGAAGCCTCTTGGGAGCCTCTTGGGGCCTCCGGGGGGCCTGTCGGGGGCTTCTTGGAGGCCTCCTGGGGGCCTCTTGGGGCTTCCTTGGGCCCTCTTGGGGGCCTTGTGGCCTCCTGGGAGCCTCTCGGGGCTGAAGGCGCGAAATGTCTGTTCTGGGCCCCCCCCCCCCTTCTGGGCACCCTCTTGGAGCCGTCTGGGGGAGCCTTTTGGGCTGTTTGGGAGGCCTTGGGCGCCTTTGGGATACGCCTGGGTTGTTTTTGGGCCCTGTTGGAGGCTTCTTGGGCCGTATTGGGTGTCTTGGGGCCGCTTGGGCCAGTCTTGGAGCGTCACGAAGCCGAAAAGGCGAGAACGCTCAAATCTGTCCAGAACCTTAGCAAACTGAATAATATAGTGTGGCTCTTGGTGCCCTCTTGGGAGTGCTCTTGGAGGTCATTGGGACGTCTTGGAGGCATCTTGGGCCGTCTGGAGGCTATCTTGGGAGTCTCGGAACGATCGTTCGGCGATGCGGGTCCCTCTCTGATTGTCTCCGGGGCCTTTTTGGGCTCCGGGCTCCGGGACCGCCCTGGGATGGCATGCTGACCCGGGACTCCCCCCCTCTTTGTCTGACGCAGTAGTCTCCCTTCGGGGTCTGACCTGGGACCCCCCCCCGGCAGAGGAGGAAATCAAATGGAAGGGGTTCTTCTTCGAATCAATCAAAGGGCCGCCATCATCATCCGTAGCAATATTGAACTCAAGAGTGATTCAATAGTCTTGCCACGCAATCTCGTGCCCCAGCGGCAGCCAGACTCGGTACACATGTCGAAGAAGACCGCAGTGGGTATCGATTTGGGCACCACCTATTCTTGCGTCGGAGTGTGGAAGAATGACGGCGTCGAGATCATTGCTAACGATCAGGGGAATCGCACGACTCCGTCCTACGTCGCCTTCACAGACTCCGAGCGCCTGATCGGGGACGCGGCCAAGAACCAGGTGGCCCGCAACCCAGAGAACACGGTCTTCGACGCGAAGCGGTTGATCGGCCGCAAGTTCGCGGACCCGATCGTGCAGGCGGACATTAAGTTGTGGCCTTTCAAAGTCGAGGCAGGAACGGGCGACAAGCCGATGATCGTTGTGTCAGCATCGGGTGAAGAGAAGAAGTTTCACCCCGAGGAGATCTCCTCGATGATCTTGCTCAAGATGAAGGAGACTGCCGAGGCTTACTTGGGGTCCAAGTGCAACGATGCAGTCGTGACTGTCCCAGCCTACTTCAACGACTCCCAGCGCCAAGCTACGAAGGATGCTGGGACGATCTCTGGTATGAACGTCCTTCGAATTATCAACGAGCCCACCGCGGCGGCGATCGCGTACGGCCTGGACAAGAAGGGCAGCGGCGAGAAGAACATCCTTATCTACGACATGGGCGGAGGCACCTTCGACGTTTCTCTGCTGACAATCGAGGAC